CTCACTCACTCACTGCCTCACTCAATGACTCACTCTCACTCACTCACTGCCTCACTCACTCATGGCCTCACTCACTGACTCAATCTCACTCACTGCCTCACTCTCTCACTGCCTCACTCTCTCACTCTCTCACTCTCTCACTGCCTCACTCACTCACTGACTCAAAAAAAATATTATACATAAGGTTAAATAAAGAGTCTTGGTAGTGCAATGGTCCAGTGCTTGCCCGCTAATCAAAAGGTAAACTGTTTGAACTCACCAGCAAGTCTGCAGGAGAACCAAAGAGCCAGTCTGCCCTTGTGAAGATGACAGCCTAAGCTGCATTTAAAACGAGTATTCTTATACACTGTGCATACTTTCATACACTGTAAAGGGCAACTTTAATAAAATTTGTCCAATAGCATTAAACCTAGTTGTTAGAAATATTTTCTAGCTTTATAATTTAAGAATTAGGTCATAAATATTTGTGCCTTGATCTTCTGATGCCAATGATTGTTAGAGCCAAGAATTCAACATCATTTAGTCATTTCCATTTGTGTAAATAAAACACATTCCACATCATACAACTTACAAACAAACAGGAAAAAGGTTACCGCCTAGGGAAACCCTATGGAGAAGCTCTGTGTTCTATAGGGTCACTAGAGGTGACTGGAAGGCATACTCCAATAGACAAAAGATAGAGATAGACATAGAGGACGCATACTCCAATAGATACAGCCTTTGAGTTGACTGTCATGTGATCTTATGTGCAATGTGTTAGGCCGGATTTACTAGAGAAACAAATCCAGTGACACTCTTACATGTCTAAGAGAGAGCTTTATATCAAGAACTCATTATGTTTTGAGAAAACAGCCCAGTCCAAACTCAAGTCCCTAAGTCCACTATTAGTCTCTAAGTCCCTCTTCAGACTCACGTAGCCACAAGTAGTGATGAAGAATGCAGGAATAGCACAGGTTGGTGGGTGCAGTCATGTGGATCCGATGGCAGTGGAGGCATCAGGGCTCAGAGTGGCCTGTCAGCAGGAAGGTAAAGGCAGAGAGAGAGAAGGGGAAGTTTGCAGGGCCCTCCTTATGAGAAGGCCATGCCCAAAGGAGGCACCATCAGCCTCTGCAACCTTATTGACCATTTGAATACCACCCTTACCCTTTTATATGTTTTCAAGTTAACATGGAATTATGTAACTACCACATGCAGCATAAGAAAAGCTGCTTGATTCTGAGTTGGCTGTAAAGTCACTGACATATTTGAGCCCATTGTGGTGGCTACTGTGCTGATCCACCTCACCAAGGGTTTTCGTTGTCCTTCCTGGCCCTCTGCTTTCCCAAACATGATGTCCTCCTCCAGCAGACGATCCCTTCTGATGATGTGTCCAAAGCAAGTGAGTTGGACAGTGTTCTGTTGTGGCTCATAAGCTTTTCATTGACTGATTTTCAGAAGAACATTGCCAGCACTTCGTCCTCATTGGCTTCAGTCTGCTGAACCCTGGCCACCCCATGTGACTCCCCTGGTGAATGAAATCTTGGCATAACTTCACCATCACAGCCACATATTTAAGCGAAGGAAGGACAATTGGACAATGTATTGTAGGAATTGTGTTTAGTATAAATGGGTTCAAAACATTGAATGGGACTCAAAATATACTAAAATATTCTTTATTTATAAATATTTTAAATTGTATCTTAAAATATAACTGGGTGTCCTGTGCTTTTCTGGCAACCATACACTAAGTTGAATTTTTGGTTCTTCTTGAAATTAATTTATGGTCTTTTGTGATTTATTTCAGATTTTGATGAGTGTCACTCAAACCCCTGTCGGAATGGAGCCACATGCATTGATGGTTTAAATACTTTTTCATGTCTCTGCCTTCCAAGCTATGTTGGTGCACTCTGTGAACAAGGTAAGCACATTCGTGTAATGAAGATTCTTGATACTTTCACCAGTGTTCAGAACAGTATTTTGTCGTAATGAATTAGATAAATATAGTCATATTGCCCTTACTGCAAATTTCTGTTCTACAAAGAAATTCTCAGGTTGTTTGATTAGATTGTTTTTGTTGGGTGCCACTGAATCAATTCAGGCGCACTGTCCACACCAGTGCCATCATCACAGTGGTTTGTTTTACCACTTTAAGCACAAAATATGAAAATAAATCAGACAGGATCCTCTCTGTGGAAAATGTAGCAAGCTGCCATTTATTAAAGAAAGCAAAAACGAGACACCTGAGACATTTGAATATGTTTAAATGGTTCTGGTTCCCCTGGTTCCCAATTACAAGGACTGATTAAAAAATCTTTTGTTCAAGTATTTATTTAGCACCAACTGTCTTCTGGGCACTAGTGGTTTTTGGCACTGGAAACAGAGCTCTGAACAAGACAGATACAAGTCCTTGCTCTGCGGGACTGACATCCTAATGACTTGGATAACTCTTGACAAAGAATGCAAAGCGTTACTACTTCAGACTCTGAGGTTTACCTTGTGTGTCATGGGTGGCCACAGTAGTTCCATAGGTGAAGCAGGTCAGGCATTAGGCTCCAAGAGGACAGGGGACAGGTTCAGGGTTATAGGACTGGGGAATGTTAGTGGTAAAACCATGAAGAAACCAAACTCATGACTCATGGCAACCCCATATGATTGGGGAGAACGGCCTCTGTGGGTTTCTGAGACTATCACTCTCTATGGACTAGAAAGCCTCCTCTTTCCCCTAAGGAGTGGCAATGTGGTTTCAAACTCCCGACTTTGTGGTTTTCAGCCCAATGGGTAACCACCAGGCTACCAGGCCTCCTTAAAAGTAGGAAAAGTGAACCTAAGTGGCCTAACCCCATAGCCTCAAGGTGTCTCAGGATTTTTACACTAGGAACTCTCTAGGGCAGCGGTTCTCAACCTGTGGGTCACGACCCGTTTGGGGGTTGAGGGACCCTTTCAAAGGGGTCGCCTGATTCATAACAGTAGCAAAATTACAGTTATGAAATAACAAAGAAAATAATTTTATGGCTGGGGTTCACCACATGTGGAACTGTGAAAGTCGCGGCATTAGGAAGTTTGAGAACCACTGCTCTAAGAAGTTCTAACTATGCAAATGAATAAGCACTTAGTTCCTCAAGTAAAGGTTGGTGGTTCAAACCCCCCACTTGTTGGTCTCTTAGAGAAAGGCCTGACAGGCTGCTTCCATAAGGTAACAGCCAGGAAAAAGCCATGGGAGAGTTCTACTCTGTCACATTGGATGGCTGTGAGTTGAGATTCAATCTGCAGCACATGGGCAACAGAGAAACTTCCAGATAAAGCATTTTATTTATATGTGCATCCGATGAATTGAGAGAGAGCTAACAGAACTCTAAAGGGATTTAGGGGTCAATTGATTTGCCCCCCTCTTTCCAAAACTATTGACAAGAGAAACAATGTCAATTTTCTCTTTCATTTTGAGTGCCACCTAACATTCAGGTATGTTCCATGTCATCTTAAAACAAGTTTAGCATTCATCCACATAATCTGCTAGGGAACAATTTAGCCCAGTCTGTTTATCAGCTGCAGCTGTGCTCTTGTGATTTCCTGCCAGGATTCTGAAAGTCTCCCCACCCCCATCCCCCACCCCCTTTCAAGTTGCCTAAGAACAAATGTTTTCTTCATTAACAGCAGCATTGTTGTCTAAACAGTATTCTGTCCAAATTTCGCCAATGACTGTGTCATTGTTTGTTCAGCTGACCTTTTCTCTGCCTTAGTAATTTCCCAAGCTTCAATCAGTCTAGCCGAGAGAGCACAGTTTGGGTAGAACAGAAACAGATAGACAATCTGAGCAGGGATCCGGGATTAGCAGAGATAATTTTGAATTTACAGGTTATCCTGAGCCAAAGCCAGCGATTGAATTTGCCAGTGAGAAGCATCAATGTGTCGATATAACACATAGTGCTTGACAGCTCCCGTCAAACCCAAAGCCACACCCACTGCCACCCAGTTGAAGTGGCCCGACCTAGGGTTTCCGAGGCTGTAAATCATCACTGAAGCAGATAGCTTCATCTTGCTGGCACACAGTGGCAGCTGGGTTTGAACCAATCTTGCTAACGTTAGTAGCTCTGGGCTTTGTCCACAAACACCACTGGCTCTCGTCAGCTACGTGCTAGAAGAGTTGCCAACATTGCCTCGGACAGAAGAAAGGGAGAGTGTGACTTCTGCACTTACAGAGACAAGTTGTGGTCACACAGGAAGGCATCATAGCCACGACGTGGTCCTCAATCTCAATTTTCTGATCCTCTCATCCGAAAAGGATGAGAGGAAAAACATCTACGGGTGCTCTGTTCTAATGAGAAAATGCAAGCAAAACAAGACTGCTGCTGTGACCCTGCACTGTCTCGATGACTGAGTTTGGTTTATGTTTCTAAACAGTTCAATGCATTTACTTTTTCAGGAGAAAATGGAATGTTAATGCACTTTAGGAAAGTCAAAATTATTCCCATTGGTCATTATCCAGTGTTTATAGTTTAACCCCTCCTGTGAATGGGTGAGTCCATTCACTAGTGAGAATGAAGTGTAAGGGGCAAGGCTGCTTTATTTGTGAAAACTACAGTAAAAATAAAGATGGTATCACTGAATCTAGAAAGTATAGCCGAAGCTTATTGCCACTGTGGAATTTTAGTGTATATTTATATATATATGTATATATATATACTATATATATATATGAAGCTTTCATCTCAACAAGACATTGATCACACTGTGCACAAGGGGGAGGGGGTGGGGGGAGGAGAGGGAACTTTAACGTGGGAGGGGGTTGGGGGAGGGGGAGGGTACTTTAACGTGGTTGATGGCATTCTCCATATGTTCGAAAGAAAGCAGCATGCCTCTTTTTGTTTGGTTGGCTTTTCCACCTGGGTGCTTCCGCACTGGATGGCTCTCCTTTGGTGAGAAGGCACACAATCCGAGCTCCATCCGGGAACTGCCTCCTCATGATTGTTTTTTCCTCCCCCTGTCAATCTTAGAGGAGAAAAGCCTTTGGCCCCCAGTTGCCCTCCTGGGAAATGGGAAAGAAGGGCTTCCTAGCCTTTGAAGTCCTTAAGCAAACAGAGTGTTCTCAATCCTACTATCCGGGGTTCTTATCTTATCACTCGAATGGTTCTCCGTAGAAAAGTTTTGTTGGTAAGCAGTTAGGCCCACTTGCTTCAAAAGGAAGCCAGCAGACACCACGGCCCAACAGGTTCCGGCTGTTCACTTGTCACGCTGGCTTTATCAAGGACGTGGCAGTTAGGGAACACCCTGGACTTTTTCTGCCCGAAGAAGTACAGCCACACACTTGTCAGGAGTGAGTCGGATTCCCTCTAGAATAATTTCTTTGCCCTCGGGGAGATGGTCGCCAAGTTTTAGGACTCGGTTCCCTGGTATGGCATCGATATTGCCTGGGCCCTTCTGCTCACGCTCGGACTGGGGAGCCATGCGGGAATGAGCTCCCGTGAGTCTCACGAGCCCCTGCCCGTTCCTCCCCAGACACGGAGACGTGTGACTACGGCTGGCACAAGTTCCAAGGGCAATGCTACAAGTACTTCGCGCATCGACGCACGTGGGACGCTGCGGAGCGCGAATGCCGTCTGCAGGGCGCTCATCTCACCAGCATCCTGTCGCAAGAGGAACAAATGTTTGTGAATCGTACGTACCGCATGGACGCGTCTTTGCGGACTCTCCCCACCTGCTCATGTTTGCCTGTGCTCAACCGAAGGGGAGACGCTTTCTTGACCAGGATTCATTTTATTTAAATCCCGCATCTGTGAACCATTTGAACGCTTCTCACTCTCTGAGCTCTGCATTTCGGGACCCATTCAGCTACAATGTGAGGGGTTTCCAAAAGTTCATGGAAAAGTTGAATTGAGAGATGACCGAATTTGTATGTTGTATCACAGAGACTTAACTATTCCTTGGCCGGCAAGCAATAGTATGTGGGGTGAGATGTGCTATACACCAACCACTGCCGTAGAGCGGACTCGAACTCATGGCCACTCTCAAGCACAGACTGAAAGTGCTCCCCACGGTTCCCCAGCCTGTAAATAGTCCCAAGAGCAGACAGACGTAGCACTGGTGGACCCAAACTGTAACCCCCTCTACCACAGGGCTCCCTGGCAAGGTCCGGGTTCAATCAAATAAAATTGCTGTTAGGTAATTATTTCTTGACCAAGAAATTATTTTATGATCTCTATGACGAATAAGCTCCTCTGTTAAGGAGATGACATATTTACAGTTATTTTGGTTGTTAATTAGAATTGAATTATTTACAGCATTCGAAGCTTATCTTCTGAATAGATTAGTTCTCACCCAGGTTTCTAATTATTTTAAGTCTTAAAAAGCGGGCTTCATATTAAGAAAACAAATGAGATTAGAAGCTAACAAAACCTGATAAAAGCTGCCAAAATGAGATAAAATTAGGAAGTTAAATTTCTACGAAGAGGAGGGCAGCTAGTTTTTACATAGCAAACATGTAAGTATTCTTTGTGCGGGAGGCCGTCTTTGCTGGGCTGTTAAGTACGTTCCCATGGTGCTGGCTGTCTTTCGGATGTTTGATTGTGTAATCACATTGTTGCATGGTATCCTTACCAGCGGCTCATCTCATAGTAAAAGGACGTTTGTTTGTTGGTGTTGTTGGGTAAGTTTGCAGAACTCTCTGATCTAGGTGTTCCCTGCTTGGAGTCCTTTGAGAAGAGACATGTGCCATCCAAAAGACAGGCCTACATGGGTAGATCTAGCACCTTTTATTGGCTTATTTAATCTCTGCCAGTGGCATAGCTTAGCTAAGAAGTCAATGTAAAAATTGTATCATGAATTAGGATGGGTTAAAGTACATATTATAAACAAAAGGGAAATAGTTGTCTGTGTTGGACATTCTAATGTTCTACACTGTGTTTGTAAA